TTGCTACATAGAGACCTTTTACGGACGATTTTCATATTGTGGACTGATTCTAGTAAAACAAGTATTTTCAAATACATGTGTTTGCCTTTTTAATGACATGTTAAAGTATCTCATAATGTAATTTTACACATGCGTCAAACACATCAATGCATGCGTGTGAAATTGTTTTCGGATTTTTTTGCCACTTCAAAACTTATTTTAGAATTTTTCAGGAATAGGTTACATGGAGGATATAGATCCTGAGATCCAAAACAAATTTCTACCGTTGCCGCCAAGATAAATATGGCCTTTCATTCTAGATAAAGTTTACTTGGTTGCAGGCTGAAAGCTCCATTCTACCGGTTTTAAATGTGATAATTGAATGTGGCATGAGCGCTTTAATTCTTGATTGTGATAATTGTATGTGGTATGAAAGCTGGAAATTAGACCGGAGAAATCTATCCAACACTAGTATGAAATGTACTCCTCATCACCATGATATGTCTAGGTATTCCGTGAACAATCACCGAAGGAGAGGATCCCCATATGAATGAATTACTCAAAGCACCACAAAGTGATGAAATTTTAATTACAAATTTGCGTGTGAGGAGAGATATTCCCGGCAAGACATAGCGGATATTTATAAACTTTAATTCAGTGTAATAATACATCACACAATATTTTTTCACTTGATGATGTTATGTCGCAATCCAGGATGATGCACTGTGGGTCAATTGTACGGCTCAACTTGCAAGCTGAAAGCTCCATTTTACCGATTGTAAACTTGTTTTTCTTTTTGTGGATGTAATTTGAAGCGTGTTAACTTTACTGTATATGTTATGAAAGCTTTACTTTTTGATTAGAATATTGTAATTTTGTTCATCGTTTGCCTTTTAATTTGGAGGTTGTGACTTCTTTTGTCGTTGAAACTTGAAAGGTGCAAAATAAATCACTAAAGGCTGCAATATAGTTAGTTGTAACGCAAAATTCATGCAGTAAAGATGATATATTTAATAAAGGAAGTTAAAAGTTTTTCTTTTTCGAGAGAAGAGAAGTTCGAGTTGAATGCTGATCGACGAACCCTTGATGTACGTGAGCAGGGACGTGGATTGTGATAGTCAACATCGCGTAGACCGCGTCGATACTGAAGAAAAGGAAAGGAACGCGTGAAGCAGTCAGTAGGCCAGCAGCGTGGCCCGGTCTTCAGAACTTCCGTCGATCTATTATCTACAGTATTATATATCTATACGTGTTTGACTATGATGACCAAGTAGTAGCTGCATGCTGCGTAGCTTGCTTGTGTTCCCACGTAAACATTCAAAGTCCAAAATTCAGATATCTGTAGTCTATTCTACGCTTCCAGCCTTCCGCCTACCGCACACGTTTCTTCAACCCACCTGGGCATAGCCTGTATTGTATATATAGGACCCGACACAGACACCTAGAGAAGCAAACACAATCTCCGCTCAAAGGATCAACACAGCACCTGGCTTACAATCTCCTCTGCTAGCTCATCTTTCAGTTTCTACCACAATGGCTGCCATGAGAACCATTCTCCTCGCCATGTCCGTGATGGCCATCCTGAGCAACGCATCGGCGGCAATCTACAACGTCGGCGAGCCAAGTGGTCAATGGGACCTCAGCACCAACTACGGCAACTGGGCGTCTTCCAGGAACTTTCACCCCAGCGACCAAATCATCTTCAAATACTCTCCTCAGGCACACGATGTCCTCGAGGTCAGCAAGGCCGACTACGACTCCTGCAGCACCGCCAGCCCCATCGCCACCCTCAACTCCGGGAATGATGTTGTCTCCCTCACTGCCACCGGCACCCGCTACTTCCTCTGCGGCTTCCCGGGCCACTGCGCCGGGGGAATGAAGGTCAAGATCGATGTCGTGCCAAGCTCGTCCTCTTCCTCGCCGTCCCCGGCCAGCGGCCCTAGTGCAAGCAACGCACCCCCACCGGTGCCTGTGTCAGCCGCCACCTCTATTGAGGCCACAGGGTTTGGCCTCGCCGTCTTGCTTGCCGTTGCCGGTCTGATGGCTTGAGTGCGTCTCTAAAAAAACATAGAAGTCACTGTTACTATCAAGCATATGTGGTGTACATGTATAGTCAAGTAATTATATCGTACGTTGTATGTATTCAGGCTTCACGTTTTGCATATTCATTTTAGAGGATGAGTAATAAAAATTCTTTTTGTATTATACAATATTTGTCCCGAAACATGTTCGCCAACCTTAAGAAGCCACCCTCAGCTCTGGAATCATGTCATACCCCTCAATATCACATCACCCGTTATTTCATATGTAACTTCCCTCGCCATTGCGTGTGTGGCATGAAGGTCATGATTGATGTCATGCCTAACTACTCCTAGTCGTCGCCTGCCCCGGACAATGGCCCAAGTGCAACCAACACTTCCCCGCATGTGCCCATATCTGTCACCTCTCTGCAGACCATGGGGTTTAGCCTCGCCATCTTGCTTCTCATTGCTTGAATTCATTTGCACAGCCCCACACACATGCGTACTTTATGTATAGTCAAGTAGTTATTACCAGTAACTATATATGTGTATGGTCCAATAATTATATGTTGGAATATGATGGTTGCATCCGAAGGTACTACGCTGGATATAGCTAGGGGGCTATGGAAGGCCGGTATCCCTCTCAAAATCAAGATTTTCTTGTGGCAAATATTCCGCAGTCGCTTACCAACGTCTGACAATGTGGCCAAACGCAATGGGCCGGCGGACGGAATGTGCACCACTTGCGGTTTAGGGGAAAACGCAAATCACATGTTCTTCGGATGTGTGCTCGCTAGATTTGCGTGGAGTATGGTTAGAGACGCTTTCAAACAAAATTGGAATCCACAGTCTAGCCACGATGTTCTTTCTATCTTAACGGCGCAAAGAGGGGCCAATGCAAGGATAGTTTGCAGATGCGTTGGGGCGCTGCTTTGGGCTCTTTGGTCGGTTTGGAACAAAATTACGGTTGAGCACAAGTTCCCGGCCCACCCCGCTGATATCATCTTCAAATGTCACATTTTTCTTCAGGCATGGGCGCTGTTGGGGAAGAAGCGTGACGTCGATCGCATGAACGAGACTACGGAGCTGATCAAGATGACCATGGTGAGGCGAGGCAAGAAGGGACGACTGCCTGATCATGCCAGCTTCACTTTTAACTATCTATCTATTTGATGCTCTGCTTTTGTGCTCATGAACTTCTGGCAGTTACTGCTTAATTCTGAGCCTTGGGCTCGATGACTTGTTTTATTCGGTTTGTAAGACTTAAGTATGTGTAGATGCTGCCTGGTGGCTTTATTAATTTAAAGCCGGACGTCTCTAGTGTCTATGTTCCAAAAAAATAATATGATGGTTGCATGCATGTTATCCCAATTTCTGTGCATACGATTATTCAGTTGCGACTCCTTGCACCAGCACCATGGCGGCTACCCGTCATCAGGGTTTACTCTTTTCCAGCTAGCGGCATGCAAGTCGAATTACGAACTTAAGCCTTGCTAATATTGCATATTAAGTTTTTACACTATATTAGTGCTCCCCTGCAGTGTTGAAATAGAGGTTGTGGAAATGTGGGCACTTACCATACTTATTGGACAAAATGCATTGATTTTTTTCTCCTGTTGCAACGCTACAAACATGTTTGCTAGTTTCTCCCAAAGAACTAATACCACTACTAGGTAAGGATCCACTTCCTTCACCGATCAAAAGTTCAAACCCATCTCCACAGTTATTCCTAGCTAGTACCTGAGACTCAGCTGTGGAGCAGAATCACTTGGCTCTTCATCCAACCTTTCTCCCACGATTTTCGGGAGATCTGGCGGGTACCTTGAGATGGTGTTTCAACCTGTCGGAAGGTGGGACTGCGATGGCGGCTGGCGGCTCCGTAGTAGGGGGCAATCTTGCGGTGGTCGTATTGATCACTCGGAGGTGGCAGCGGATGATGAGGCGGTCGTTGTCGCTGTCAATCTGTTCAACTAGTGTGAGGTCGCTCGTCTTCAGCAGGAACGGGGACCCATGCGTGGGGTTATCTTGGTCGAACGTGTGCCTCAGGTGCTCCGCTTCACCAGCCCCCGCGAGGCCGATGACCTCGAAGTGGAATTCGGCCGTCGTCTCTGTCTCATCGGATCTCGCGCGACCGAGGAAGACGGACACCCAGTCCCTGCTGGCATCGCAGTAGCCGTTGGGGTACACCTTGAGGTACCAGCTGCCGCCGCCGAAGCTGAACTACCTAGAGTGCACGCACTCCCCAGTACGAAGCACCGCCCTGACATTCGAGAAGAAGGCGATCGTCATCGTGTAGGACGCGCCGGTCGTCCCGGCCGCTGGCTTCCAGGCCTGAACAATTTGTTCTGCCGCGAAGACCTTCGCCGGCAATTTTCTCACTTCCACTTCCACGTCGATGAACACTGTGCACCGGATGGTGAAGCTATCATCCTGACGACAGACGCACGATGACCACTCCAGCTCGCTCCTCTTCACGAACCGGACGTAGCCCCTTCCATGGCCCCAGAGCGCGCCGTGTGGTTGTCAAAGACGGTGCGCTCTCCGCTCTCGCCCAGGATCTCGATGAACATCCTGAGCCTGCATCTGCCCTCGTTGGTGTTGTAGATGTGGTCGAACGGGCCGTTACGGGCGACGAGGAAGATGGCCACAAACTCCGCCGATTCCTTGTCGAAGCCCGCGGGGTAGACCTTGAGGTGGTGGAGTACCCCGCGGACGAAGAAGGGGTCGAAGTTGAGCGCCGTGCTGGGCAGCGTCCGCGCCCACTTGGAGTACTCGGGCACCGTGAAGAGATAGGTCACGGAATCGATCGTCTCGAACAGGCCGCACCTCACCGGCAGCGACGGCACTGCCAGCATCGCGTGGCTAGCGGTGGCGCCCATCGATCCCAGGACGGCGCCGTTGGAGATCGGTACGATATATTACCGCTACTGAGTACTGAACTAGTCCTATATTTGATGGGCTCCTCTCTCTCCGCCGGGTACGTACGTATATGGTGTTTGGATGGAAAGCCAAACAAAACCTCCCGGTAGATCCATGAACGCGGTGAGGGCAAAATCAAGGCAAGTGATTTGCGCCCCTCCATATATAGCTAGCGTTGAGAAGTACGTCGCCGTCCCGAGCACGCACAGCACAATGCCTCGTTTCACCCTCAGCAGCCACTCGGGGTCGAACCTGCCGTCGTCGTGCACCGTGTTGAAGACAGAGGCCACGACTCGTGTCTTCACCGTCGCCGGCTACTCGCAATGTGCGCGGAAGCTCGTGGGCTCCGTGCTTGAGTTCGACAGGTTCCGCCTCGGCGACCGCGCCTACCGCCTCAAGGTGTACCCCGCGGGCTTCGACGAGGAGTCGGCAGGCTTCGTCGCTGTTCTCGTCACCATGGAAGACCACTGGGACTCGTTCTTACTCGGTAGGGCCGCCAGGACGATCTTCATAGAGATCCTGGACAAGGACGGGGAGCGCGCCGTCTTGGACAACAACACGGCCAGGTCGGAGCAGACGCTGCTCCACCACAACCGCAGCAAGGGCTACGTCCGGTTCGTCGCGAGGAGGGACCTGGATGAGTCGACGTGCGTCCGCGACGACGATTCCTTCACCGTCCGGTGCACGCTGTCCAGGGACGTGGAGGTGACCACCAAGCTCACATATCCAAGACCGCCCCCCAAAGGCCTGTTGAGAATACAATGATGTTTTATTATTTTATTTGAGTTGAGAATACAATTTTGATGGTTAACTGTAAAATAATAGCTCGGGTCAGTAATAGTTGCTCATAATTGATAAGAAATATATTCAGAAATGATATCATTAAATCTCAGTCTCAGTCGATACTATATCATCCATGTGATTTTATGTGGACATTTGGGTGAATTTTTCGTTTTTGTTTTCTTTTTTTTTAATGTTATCTGTATATAAACGTGGTTCATCTCTTGACTAGGACTTGATTAGTCTCAATCGGCTCAGATCTAGCCACAACCATTAAGACATTAATGTGTTCTCCTAAGTCTAGGATGACTAATTTTTTGAAAATATGTAGAGTGATTTTTTAGTTGAAAATGTGGACAAGTTTTAATAGGAAAAAGTGTAGTGAACGTACTATTTGCTAATTTTCAAATCCATTTAAGTATGTGTTTTGTTATAGACGACATGTCAAAGTGTCCCATAATGAAAATTTACACATTCATAAACTACATCTATGCGTGTGTGCCCGCGTGTGTATGTGAAATTGTTTTCAGAAGTTCTTGACACTTCATAATAAGTAGATTTCGTCAAAACAGGGCTACATGGACTGAACACGAAAACATATTTCTGCCATTGTCGTGAAGGACCTTTATTTTTTTAATTTACTTGAATTTAATAATATATCACTCAGTAATTATTTTACGCATTGTTATTTTGCATACATCCATGATGATGTAATGGTGTCCTTTGTTCTGCTTAAATCATAGGCTGAAAGCTTCATTTTGCCAATTTTAATCATGTTAACTGTCGTATCAAAGAAATACTTTTTGATCGAGGTAATGAGAGTTATACTTCTTAATTAAATGTTGGACTTTTGTGCAATAAATACCATTTGCCATCTAAGATGAAAATTGTAACCTTTTGTTTTTGAAACTTGAAAGCTAGCATATTATTTAGTTGTGCCGTGGGATTCAGCCAATTGGAAGCTTGCAATTTTAGAGGAGAAGGTTTTTTATTTATTTAGAGAGGGGAATTAGGAGTTGAAATGCGGCTGTATCATTCGATCTACTTCTAGAAGATTTATGAATTGTGAAGATGGTCTACGCCTTTTTTTTTTTGAGGGAATAGATGTTCTATGTCTTGTAGCGTAGACTGCGTCGATATTGGAGCAGACGGCAATGGCTCCATGAGGACGCGTGAAAAGGTCAGCAGGCCAAACAGCACATGTTCGCTCTAGACTGCAAGAAGACAGACTTCCCTAAGCTTTGACTTGTACTACGCAAAGATAGAAACTTAGGTTAGACATATAATTGGTATGATGATTGGATTTACCTCGAAAATATGTTATGAGAG